TGTGTGTGTGTGTGTGTGTGTGTGTGTGTGTGTGTGTGTGTGTGTGTTATCAGCTTCTAATGAGGAGCAGGGCACGCAGCTTTTTCCCGTCTGAAAGATACTAATAAAACTGACAACCCTCTGTCCTCCGCTGGCAGAGAGGACTTGCATTAAATTTAAAAAAAGGAGTGTTATACACACACACGCACTCCATAAAGGTGGATATAATTACACACTTCAGCAGACACTCTGATATGTTTTACTGAGAGGCGTACACACTCGCACATAAGACATACCAGAAAAGCGGTAGATTCTGGTTAAGTCGATGAAAAAGGCAAAAAAACAACAACAACTTCCTGCTTTGTGGTTTTAACGGTAACATCTGGAAAAGTTGTTAGGAATAATTCCCAACTTCAGACTAAACTAACCAGGATTCGTCTGATTGCTGGTTAATTTTCCAGCATGCATCAGAGGCACGCACGCACAAACACACACAGAGAGAGAAACTGATAAGACAGTAAGTTAATTAGGGTGGTGAGCATGGTCTAACAGCTCAGTGAGAGGGGAGGACAGATGGGCCTTGACTCCACCACTGACACAGAGCCAGAGATGGTAGGAGGCGGCGGTGATGGATGATGGAGGACAGACAGAGGAGGAAAGTTGTTTGATGAGGGGAGCGGGTAGAGAGGGGGATGAAAGGATAAAGTATAGAGGGAGAAAAAGCTGGATGGAGCTGCAGGGATTTCCCAGACTTTAGATGGAGCGTGAGGCCAAGACATGGAGGAAAACAGCAGGGGAGCTTAAATGTTTATAACATTATTATACAGGTTTGTAGAGGGCTATTTATGGCGCAGGCATGCGGTGTTAAAGATGACATTATTTTGGGGTTGGAGACAATACTTTGAGGGGTGGTGTGTGTGTGTATAGAGATATGATCCTTAGATTGCAATATTTCTCTCAGAAGTCTCACGCAAACACAAAAATATACTTTGGGTGTTTGTCATATTTTCATTTAATTTCGCAGCCGTGAATCAACTGGCAAGCGAAGGGTGTTTTTTTTTTGTTTTTTTAATATAGATACAACTTGTTTGGGAGGGAGATTCCTGTTATCAAGTTTGGAATGAAACAAGTGAGATAAGAGAGTCTGAGGGGAGGAGAAGAAGGGAGGCTGCTTTCATCCAGTGCAGACAGGGTGGTGTGGGGGGAGACATGAAGAAGAGGCGGATAGACCAAGATGGAGGGGGGGTTAATGTGTGGAGCTGCATATTAAAGGGAGTAAAATGACTTGAACTGGCAGAAAATGTGGAGTTTTGTTATGTAAAAAGAATGAAGTAGGCAAACAAAAACGCTGTGTGTGGCTTTTTTTTTTACTTGTGTTATTGACCTTTTATTTTTGTAGCTCCAGTTAAATGGAGTTCAGGTTTAAAGGAGTGAGTGTTTAAAGCTGTTTTCATGACATTAACTGTATGCCTTGCTCTGAAGTGGACGATTCATTGGTGTAGAGGTCCCGTTGACCTGTTTTCTTCTGGCTACAATAATGTTAAAATCTACTGGACTCTACTTTCACCCTCCATGCCTCTGACATGTTCTTTGTAGAGGTTTACAGGTAATGGCCAAGTTGCTATGTTACATAACTGCTTAGCTGTGATGAATCCCTGTGCACACACACACACACACACACACACATATATTTATGCACAGGACGCTACATTCATGAATTGTGGTGGGAGTGAGATTGTAGGTATTGCAGTGAGTGTAGTAAACGCTTCCCTCCGTCACCTGAAAGCCTTTCAATGTATGCAAATTAGATTTACTTTAAATATCACAGCTAGGATGAGCAGAAGTTAAGTGTGTTAGAAAATAGCTGGTTCTTTCATAGAAATTCAAAGGTACAACCTGTGGATAAAAAACCCCCGAAATGTGAGACTTTAACTACAACTCCCAAGATGCATTTCAGTGAGAGACGACATAAAACACAAAAGTAAGGGCTGAGTTCTACGTGAAGTGTGTCGCATGGCATACATTTTATTAGTGTGGCACTCGTTTGTGCACAGTAAAAGTCACAGATGTATGTTTTCCAATTATTCAGCTGCACCTGACTGCAGTGTTGTGCAGACATTCCTATCATTCAGCACTTTGTTTAAGAGCAGACGGTTGAAACCATCCACAGTGTTTGCGTGAGCCATGAGAATGGATTGTATGCAGCGTCACCGTCGCCTGTTTTTATTCATGTTACTTTGAACAAGATTGAATAGGGTTATTTTCTCGAACTGCAGCTGATGTCGAGCATATATGAATCCATCTGTTGTCGTGACGCATTTTCTCCTTTCCCAGGGACTGACGTTGGAGCCCGGCTTGTTGCGATGCTGTCACGTCCCCTGCGGGAGCCGACCCATCGACTACGCCATCAACATCGGCAACAAACTGCTACATGATATCCGTCGTCACATCAAAAAATACTACTCTGTGAGTATTTGTGTGTTTGTGTGCCAGTTGGGAATACAACTCTGCTTTTACACACACTCAAAAACACAAGCACACACAAACATTCATGTATGTACTTCACCACCTGCAGGGCCACAAATGGACTTTTTTACTCCGTGTTTAATGCTGCAACTAGACTAGCACAGCTGGTCTCTCTCTCTCTCTCTCTCTCTCTCTCTCTCTCTCTCTCTCTCTCTTTAAAGCTTGTTCTCTGAATGAACTTGCAGTTAATTCACAAACGCATCAAAAGTATACATTAAATGTAAATCCGTGGTCCAGAAGCTCTCCTCTTAAACCATTTGCATTGCAAAGCATCGTGGTTGTTTGCATGCCACTATATCAATCAACACATTCACATAAAGAAATGAAATGAATGCTGCAGCTGACACAAAACAAGCTCAAGTGGTCAGAGAGGAGAAAAGTCTGGTGAAAATTGACCTTTCACTGTTTATGAAAACGTTGGACTGTATTTAACACAATGTGGGATTCAGCTGATTCAGTAATGAAAAGAGAAGCCATCAAAAAGATGTTGAGAGAGAGAGAGATGATGGAAACCTCAGCAGGGCACCGCGCTGACATTTTCCACCAAAGAGCACATTATGCCAGCGAAATGAAAAGAGCACCAGAAAGATTCTAGAGCATGATCTGTGAAAATACTTAAATGGCCATTCTTACTTTGAATACCAAGTTTAACATGCACTTTTTGTCCGGTTTTTTTTTGTTGAGGTTATAGGGTGGAATTTAAGTGATACATCTGGGAGAACGGAATCACTAGAGATACAGCGAGGACTAAAAATAAAACGAATCCAAAGTATTTGACTTTAAAGATTATTATTTTTGCAGTTTGGCACATTTTGCCGTCTCAAAAGCAGGCAAGGTGTGAAAATACGGTGCGTTGACTTCCCACTTCACCGTTCAGACGTCCAGATAGAAGAACACGAGGCCAGAGACGTGCAAAATGTGCACGGCCACACGATCAAATACATGTTGAATATAGTTGCACACTTAAAAATGATTAAATGCTGCCGCTAGGTATCTGTTTTAATTGTTCACCAATTGATCAATTTCAACTAAATTGCGAGGATCTTCAGATTTAGTTAATTTAAAGATAACATCCCGATATTTTTTCCACCATCGACCAATCGATTGGTTAAAGAGCAGGTAGATTTTCTTTGGTTGACTACAGCCCTAAAACATGCAACACACTTCATCCTGTGTCCATGTTGGATGAGGCGCGTAAAGAGGAACAAGACTCGCACGCTGCCAACAAACCAGCTCCCCACCGTGACCCGCTGCCACCATCCCGTCTACTTGTCCAATACATTGGTGTACGACCAAATACCTGCACAGGACATTCCTAGCATTAGCAAACGGTAGCATTTTGAACACTCTGAACTAAAGTGGTGATCGCGGTAGGAATGATCTGCGAAACATCCGCATGTTAGCATTGTGAGCATGTTAGCATGCTGACAATAGCAGTTAGCCCAAAGCACTGAGCAGCCTGACAGAGCTGCTGACATGGCTGTAGATTCTCAATCTTGTTATTGCGTAAACTAGAATTACAAGTTTGTCTCAACAGGCGTTATTAGGTTTTGCCTTAGCAGCCTGAGACTGAAGTAAACTGGACGCCTGTGTTGTCTTTGTAGGGCTCGCTCTCGCTCTCTCTCTCTCCTGGTAGCTTCTAACACCTTCGTCTTGAGTGAGTGGAATGCACTGTCTGCCTGTAAAAGTGTCTATGTGTATGTGGGGGTAACTCTCCCACAGTGCTGAACAGAAATCAATTAGTTTGGTGAATGTGCGGGGATCGAGCCCCCCCATCCCCTTTGTCACGATGTGTGAAACAGCTGCTACCACTGAATACTTACACCTCACACGGCAACACACTCGCGCGCGCGCGCGCACACACACACTCGCGCACACACGCATGCACACACAGACACACCACTGGAGGCGGACACAGCGCACACACACAGCGGGGCAATGAAGAGGGGTAATATTGTGTAATTAAGGATTCCTTTCAGGCCGAGGGAGAGTTCAAATAGAGCTGTTTGTCTGGCCAGATAGTGTGAAAGCTCTGCACCTCTGTGTGTGTGTGTACAAGAATATACGTGCATGTGTGTTGGCGTCCTAAGCTAGGACCACAGAGACATTAATCATTAGTGAAATTACCTCCTGCCCCCCCACCCCCCATCCCCACCATTATCAATAAACCAGCCCCCTGAGAATGGGCAAACACTTGTTCACTCCTCACTTACACACACACACACACACACACACACACTGTTGTCATCCTTTCCTCCTCTCGTCCCGCTGTCTTTGGCAAAATGAGAGATTCGCTCATTTCCTGAACCACCCAATTCTTCTTTTTCTTTTTTTTTTTTTTTTTTCTTTTTTTTGGGGTAACCCCTCCCATCTAACCACCGTTGCCATGGCATTTAACAAATTATTGCAATTACCCTCGTCATGCGGGTCGCCCCTGGAAACGGGCTGAGGGGCAAGAGTAGAAAGGGGGAGAGAGGAGAGAGAGAGGGAGAGAGAGAAAGGGTGAATGAAGACCAGAGAAGGTGATAATCCTGTTTTGAACAAAAGGTCAAATTGCTGAATAGAGAAGCTTTGATTAAGCGGAGGAGGTACAAAGTGGAACCGTTTGAGCTCTATTCACTGTGTGTGTGTGTGTGTGTGTGTGTGTGTGTGTGTGTGTGTGTGTGTGTGTGTGTGTGTGTGTGTGTGTGTGTTTGTGAAGTAGACCGATTTGAAGGTCTATTCACTCCAGAGCTGGACGTGTTGACTGCTGTAGGCCCGACCTCGACCAAAACATTCAAAGTCGATTGACGCTCGTACGATTTTTGCCGATTAGTTGATTTAATCAACAGATCTGTAAAACAGAGTTTCTGCGCATTGGAATCATGCAAAAGCATCACTTAACTTAGCATTGGTGATGATTAAATATCAAGAATGTTATCGTGTAAATATTTTTTGAAAGCATCAATAGTCGTGTGTGTGTGTTTCAGGTGGATTCCTCTGCTACAGCAGTGATGTCAGAGAGGCTTCTCCACTTTGTTAGCATTCACAATAGATCTGAAACAATTAGTCAATTAATAGATTTTTAAAAAATTGTTATTATATTATAATCATCCCGGTAAGGGGGACATTTGTCTCTGCATTTGACCCATCCCTGTATATAGGGAGCAGTGGGCTGCCCGTGACAGGCGCCCGGGGAGCCGTTAGGGGTTCGGTGTCTTGTTCGGGGACACTTCGACTCAGGACACGTCCCAGCCAAGGATCGAACCGTCGACCTTCCGTTTACCAGACAACCCTCTTAGCCTAGTGAGTAGATAGAAGATTAACAGAACAATAATCTGTAACTATTCTCATGAATATGTGTTTTTTTTTTTTTGTTTGCACACAGCAAGCAATTTGAAGACATCACCTTATAGAGTGAATTAACACCTGTTCGCCAAGTCACACAAATGTAAGAAAATAGTCAAACATGATGTCCTCAGCAGAACTGCAAAGATTAGTCAATCAAAAGAACATTCATCAGCTAGCTGTTTTTATAATCGATTAATTAAGTAACGCCTCAAATAGAAATGGCAACATTTGATGGTTCTGAAATGTGACAGTTCGCTGCTCTTACATTATTTTTTATTTAATATTTTTGGGTTTTGGCATGTTGTTCGGACAATAACAGACATTTAATGACGTCACCTTGGGTTCTTGGATTGTGCTCGGAGCATTTTTCATCCTAATCTGACACTTAAAACCGTTAATTGAGAAATCAGTCCGCATAGTAATCAATAATGAAAATAGTCTTTTGTTGCATAACTGATTAAAAATACTTTCGGACCTTTCAGACAAAGATGCAGGGAGAAAAGACACCTCAGATTAGGGCTGCAACTAATGTCAATCTTCACTATCAATGAATCTGCTTATCGATCAATAAATTCTTTAGTCACTAAAAAATGCCCATATCTAACGGCAGCGTCTTACTAAGCAGTCGATCGAGAGTCGGAAACAGCAGCGTCCATTCTGCAGAATCATTTAGAGAGATTATTCTTCATCAAACGAGTGCAGTGAAGGTGATCGTTAAAGTATCGGACCCAACCGGGGTGTTTTTGGGAGCAGAAATCAACCAGCAGAGAGAGGCTACATTTCCATGTGGGCCCTGTCGTGGCCGGGTCTTGCCTCTATTTGGTTAAATTATGCGGAACACATTTGACGTCTGCATTCAGTGTGTCAGGTATCCACTGTAGTAATTATGCAATTATGAGCCTTTATTCTCTCACATCCGACTGTACACCCCACCCCCACCCCCCCCCACCCTCGCTCTGGCGAAATGCCTCAATTATATTTTTCTCTCCACTGCCTCACGGCCCTCCTTTGTTTTTAGTCGTTTCTCTGTGGCTCAAACGGTACTGCGGAACTTAATCTCACTTTATTTATATTTTTCTGTGCGTGTGTGGATTTTGGGTCACATTACCAGAGCACAAGGGCTTTTGTTGGTTGCGTTTCCTTCTTTCAGCCCTCACAGTCCTGGGCACTTGAGTCTTTGATGTGTGTCTTATTAAATCATTGTAATGTGTATGAATGGGAAACAATTAATATGTTTGTGCTCACACTGAATACAGGCTGTGTGTGTGTGTGTGTGTGTGTGTGTGTGTGTGTGTGTGTGTGTGT